ATACAAAGAAAGAAACATCGACAGTTATGACTGTCTACAATAAAACTTGATATTTATAGGGTATCAACTACTTATGTACATGAATTACAAAGACCATTCATCACATAAGAACATTTTTTGACGGAGTTTTGTTCTCTGAGCTGGATGGTGTGGTCGTGGAGCTTTCATCAATCTTCTGAACGACATCATCAGCACAAACTTCAGATAGATGATGAAAGCTCCACGACCAAACCATCCAACTCAGAGAACAAAACTCCATCAAAATCATCTACCTCAGCTACAAATCTTCCCCACCATCTCATTACCTAAGAACATCAAATAAATAATAAACCATATTACAAAATGTATGTCTAATGTTAGATTAGTACACTTTCAATGAATAGTTCAAAGGGATATCTACAATTGTATATGATATAATCCATTCAATTGAGTGGAAAATATCTATGAACTAAACTCTTATTATCAATATTTCAGAATGTTAACAAACATAAAAAGAAAAACAAACTTTAATTTATTCTTGGATTTGATTAGTAAACAACTTATGGATAATAATTAAACTATCATTTTCACTATGGATTAATATTATTCAGATAGCTATTGTAAACCAGAGAAAACTCATTTATTCTGAAAACAGTTAGGTAAATCTAGCTGACGAGTGTCGAATAGGACGAAACGCAGAGCCTAGATTCCATCGATAACCATCATCCATCTTTGCTTAAAACAGTATCGAGGCAGTACACACAGGATACATATATGATAACAAGGGACTAATCAATTTCATTCCTCAACAGCAATTGGAAGATACAAGCAAATAATAAAGCAAGATATAAGGTATTAATTTTGACGTAAGTGTGTTGGTTCGTAGTGTGGTATGTGCTACTGATATCAATAGATATAAATAGTATGCATCATCAATCGAAAGTGGAATAACTTGACGGCAGATGGTTGAGAAAATCGAAGAGTGATTGATATTGGAAATGAAGGAACAACAAAGTCTGAGACAATTAATGGATAACATAGAGTATATAATTTGACTTTAAAAAAATATACTGAATTCGAACTGAATATTAGTTAGTTAAGATGAATAATTTGTATCGTGCACGGAGGACAACTGACAAACTCGTTCGAAGTAAAGACCGGTGTCAGGCAAGGTTGCTTACTCTCACCCTTCCTCTTTCCCCTGTTGATCGACTGGATCATGAAGACGTCAACATCTGAAGGGAAGCACGGGATACTGTGGACATCTAGGATGCAACTGGACGATCTAGACTTTGCAGATGATCTGATCCTACTATCGTAATCGCAACAACAAATGCAGGAGAAAACGACTAGTGTAGCAACAGACTCAGCAGCAGTATGCCTCAATATACACAAAGGGAAAATAAAGATTCTCCGAACCAACACAGCATGCACCAATTCAATCACAATTAACGGAGAAGATTTGGAAGATGTGAAAACCTTTACATATTTGGGCAGCATCATTGATGAACATGGTGGATCGGATGCAGATGTGAAAGCGCGAACCAGTAAAGCGAGAGCAGTATATTTACAACTGAAGGACATCTAGAACTCAAAACAACTGTCAACCAACACCAAGGTCAGGATTTGCATTGCTGAGGAGTTCCACAATCAGATGAAACGACCGTTCAGTGCTTCCGGGTTTTCCATGGTGGTCTAGCGTCGAGTGACTCATTATCTCAACTACTGAAATGACTATAATATCTGCAAAAACCCCATTCCATGTTAATGTGTTTTTACGGCAAATTATCAAGATAATTCAGTCGACTGCAGGCAGAATCATTGAGTTATATAACCAATAAGGAATACCGATTATCCCATTCACTTTTACATTTATTTTAATGTTTCAACCATTTTAAAAGGGTTACCTTCTTACTATAGATTATATTTGTACTAGATAAGGAATTTAATGAGATGCGAGGAGATCACTTATCAACTAGTTACTAGTAAATTCCTTTTATATTGTCTGTTTGAATCTGCCCTTTAGTGTTTAAGATTTCAATTGATCAGTCTCTTATTAGCACATGTACATTCTATGCGGATTACTTCGATATTACCTTAAATTCACACGAAGTTTCAAATGAACAATACAAAATGAATTTAAACTTCATCCTATTGCACAAGCTAATGGCTATCTGAACTCACTATCTAAATCGATAACGTGATGACATTTGTAGCAAACACTACTGGATTCCATGCATGAATTGAACATCACCTATGAAATACAAATACATTCAGCTGACGAGTCCCAATTAAGACGAAACACGCATCATGCATTCCACTGCTAGCCATCATCAATCTTTACAAATTATAGTTACTAGTCAAGTACCAATGAAATATACGTCTGTTATTCTCTAATTTAATATATAGCTATTCTTAGGTAATAATCAAGCTAATAGATCGATTAAATTTTCTTTTTAAAAATGACACACATGATCTAATCAATTTATCTTCATTATTGTGATGAAATTTACTTATATCACTGAAAAGGGAATAAAAGAAGACAGACGTTTTATACTACTATTAAAGTAGTATCCATTATCTACAGATAGATATCTTTGATCCGATCCGATTGATTCAATGTTGAATAGATTCAACTTACTCATCATAATACATGGATTCATTTAACGAGGAAATGTTTTCTACAAACTCACTAACAAATAACAAAGGTTGTTTAGAAGAAGTAAGTTTCATATTCAATTTGTGCGAATATTAAATTTTCTTATGAATATATAAAAATGAATATGAATTTTTAGTTTTCGAAGAAAGATTTCAATAGTTGAGATCATGAGTCAATTGAAACTAGACCACCATGGAAAATCTAGATACACTGGACGTCCGTTTCGTCCTATTGTGGGACCCCTCAGCAGTGCCCATCCACAACCTCGCCTCGCGAAATTCGAACTCAGGACCTAACAGTCTCGCGCGCGATATCTACCTTCAATCAATCCACGAAATTCAGTGACACATCCACCAATGTCTTCAGTGAGTTACTATCTCACAACAGACCCGGTTGAACTCCACTGCTCACTGCTTCTCACCAGAACTCCAGGAAATATCTCTTGAAACCAGTCATTAATTATTATCTAAATAAGAATATGAATGACAGTGCGGAATGATTGAATTTAGGTACATAGAATATTAAAATTCGACTTTATGATCCATTCTTAATGTGAAATTCTTGAATATGATATCTGATTAAGTCATTCATGTACACTGTTAAAATGTTTCAAACTTGAACAAGTATTCAGCGTTGCGTGATCTTTAACGGTTTCTTGACATAGACCTCTCAGAGCAAAATGATATGAGAAAAAATAATACCTGTGTATAAGGAATAAAAAAGTAGAAAGAGTAAGAAAAAATTTGGATAAGCCTTGAATACAGTTACCGTCATAACTTTTAGTTATGAACTATGTGATATTCGAATAATGAGATATCTAAAGTCTTACCCAATAAGTTGAAATTCTTTTTGTAGGGCTCAGTTCATCAATCAGTAATGGTATAGATTACTTTCTGCTAGGAATTAGAAGTAATCATCATTTACCACTAACCAACCTAAACCTTGCATGTAACTTGGTAACTAGATAATGTATATTTCATAACAACAATCGATAATAACGAAATGTTGAGGATTCATTTTCAACTTTGATAAAGTGATCAGTTTTTGTTGATTTTGAAGTTTATGTTTATATCTAAGGTCATGTAAACAACATTTTGATCTCTTATTACCTTTACCATTCAACTGTTCTTCATTAGGTCCAATAAATTCTGAAGATGATGAAGAAGAACAAGAAGAACAACATGATGATGATGAAGAGTTGGAGGAAAAGGAATATGTTAGGTTCGTTAACCTTGAGGATACTACTGATTCGACTTATTCGGAACGGAACGAAGGCTCAAGATTCAGAGACTCAATAGAGTATTCTGGCCCGTTGTCTTCGACTCAGCTAACTCGATCAAGAAGTCTTGGTAAAGCGTAGAAAGTGTATTCTAAAAGCAACAGCAGATACCAAGTCAGGCAGGCAGATCAGATCAAGCATATAAGTCAAGCGTATTTATGCAATTATTTACAATCGATATTGTCATAGAAAATTTTCAAACATTAATCAATGAGTTCTTTAATTGACCTATTTGCGAATTTAATCGATAGTTCATCAATTCACTGCTAATCAAACATTTAATCGATCAGTTCATAAATTGACCCCAATACAAATATTTAAACATTTAATCAATAAATTGATCGATGCGATAAAATTTAAAATATGAGTTTGGGGATCTATCGTCCCCAACAGAATATGATAATGTACATACTGACTTTGGGAAAATAGGTGATTATTTTAAAATCATTGATTTCATCTCAATTAACCAATTTGTTAGTTGATCTACTTCAATTGTTCGCCTTGGTGAATGTAAACTATTATTCAATGTCCAAAAGTCATGATGATGAAGTGAATTCTGTTGAAAAACAATTGATAAAATAAACATTGAAGTTTTATTGGTTAAAAGTGTCAGATAAAAATTGCTGTTTGAAGTTGTGAGGACGACCCATGGGTGAGCTCGAGGAAGCTATAAGAAGCTTAGAAAGAGCTGAAGATATTCCATTCAATCATCTTTTGGAAGAATATTCCAGAATCCCTATGTGCAGCTTCCCTATTGGACAAATGCTAATAACCACCTGCATGCACATTTAAGGGCTATAATGATGATTTCGTTTTTAATAGAAACTATAAATACCTGATATTTTTGTACCATAATTGATGCTAATAGATCGATTAAATTTTCTTTTTAAAAATGACACACATGATCTAATCAATTTATCTTCATTATTGTGATGAAATTTACTTATATCACTGAAAAGGGAATAAAAGAAGACAGACGTTTTATACTACTATTAAAGTAGTATCCATTATCTACAGATAGATATCTTTGATCCGATCCGATTGATTCAATGTTGAATAGATTCAACTTACTCATCATAATACATGGATTCATTTAACGAGGAAATGTTTTCTACAAACTCACTAACAAATAACAAAGGTTGTTTAGAAGAAGTAAGTTTCATATTCAATTTGTGCGAATATTAAATTTTCTTATGAATATATAAAGAATGAATATGAATTTTTAGTTTTCGAAGAAAGATTTCAATAGTTGAGATCATGAGTCAATTGAAACTAGACCACCATGGAAAATCTAGATACACTGGACGTCCGTTTCGTCCTATTGTGGGACCCCTCAGCAGTGCCCATCCACAACCTCGCCTCGCGAAATTCGAACTCAGGACCTAACAGTCTCGCGCGCGATATCTACCTTCAATCAATCCACGAAATTCAGTGACACATCCACCAATGTCTTCAGTGAGTTACTATCTCACAACAGACCCGGTTGAACTCCACTGCTCACTGCTTCTCACCAGAACTCCAGGAAATATCTCTTGAAACCAGTCATTAATTATTATCTAAATAAGAATATGAATGACAGTGCGGAATGATTGAATTTAGGTACATAGAATATTAAAATTCGACTTTATGATCCATTCTTAATGTGAAATTCTTGAATATGATATCTGATTAAGTCATTCATGTACACTGTTAAAATGTTTCAAACTTGAACAAGTATTCAGCGTTGCGTGATCTTTAACGGTTTCTTGACATAGACCTCTCAGAGCAAAATGATATGAGAAAAAATAATACCTGTGTATAAGGAATAAAAAAGTAGAAAGAGTAAGAAAAAATTTGGATAAGCCTTGAATACAGTTACCGTCATAACTTTTAGTTATGAACTATGTGATATTCGAATAATGAGATATCTAAAGTCTTACCCAATAAGTTGAAATTCTTTTTGTAGGGCTCAGTTCATCAATCAGTAATGGTATAGATTACTTTCTGCTAGGAATTAGAAGTAATCATCATTTACCACTAACCAACCTAAACCTTGCATGTAACATGGTAACTAGATATTCTATATTTCATAACTTTACACACAGACTCAGTTACTGCATTTAATATCAATATCCAAACGTCGGTTCATCCATACTAAGTCTGTTGTTAAGGAAACGTTGATTCATCATCTGTGAGTCCACTCTTAAAATCACTTCCGTTATATCTTGAGCTTAGTTTCTTATTATATCGCGTACAATTTGTTATGAAATATACATTATCTAGTTACCAAGTTACATGCAAGGTTTACGTTGGTTAGTGGTAAATGATGATTACTTCTAATTCCTAGCAGAAAGTAATCTATACCATTACTGATTGATGAACTGAGCCCTACAAAAAGAATTTCAACTTATTGGGTAAGACTTTAGATATCTCATTATTCGAATATCACATAGTTCATAACTAAAAGTTATGACGGTAACTGTATTCAAGGCTTATCCAAATTTTTTCTTACTCTTTCTACTTTTTTATTCCTTATACACAGGTATTATTTTTTCTCATATCATTTTGCTCTGAGAGGTCTATGTCAAGAAACCGTTAAAGATCACGCAACGCTGAATACTTGTTCAAGTTTGAAACATTTTAACAGTGTACATGAATGACTTAATCAGATATCATATTCAAGAATTTCACATTAAGAATGGATCATAAAGTCGAATTTTAATATTCTATGTACCTAAATTCAATCATTCCGCACTGTCATTCATATTCTTATTTAGATAATAATTAATGACTGGTTTCAAGAGATATTTCCTGGAGTTCTGGTGAGAAGCAGTGAGCAGTGGAGTTCAACCGGGTCTGTTGTGAGATAGTAACTCACTGAAGACATTGGTGGATGTGTCACTGAATTTCGTGGATTGATTGAAGGTAGATATCGCGCGCGAGACTGTTAGGTCCTGAGTTCGAATTTCGCGAGGCGAGGTTGTGGATGGGCACTGCTGAGGGGTCCCACAATAGGACGAAACGGACGTCCAGTGTATCTAGATTTTCCATGGTGGTCTAGTTTCAATTGACTCATGATCTCAACTATTGAAATCTTTCTTCGAAAACTAAAAATTCATATTCATTCTTTATATATTCATAAGAAAATTTAATATTCGCACAAATTGAATATGAAACTTACTTCTTCTAAACAACCTTTGTTATTTGTTAGTGAGTTTGTAGAAAACATTTCCTCGTTAAATGAATCCATGTATTATGATGAGTAAGTTGAATCTATTCAACATTGAATCAATCGGATCGGATCAAAGATATCTATCTGTAGATAATGGATACTACTTTAATAGTAGTATAAAACGTCTGTCTTCTTTTATTCCCTTTTCAGTGATATAAGTAAATTTCATCACAATAATGAAGATAAATTGATTAGATCATGTGTGTCATTTTTAAAAAGAAAATTTAATCGATCTATTAGCATCAATTATGGTACAAAAATATCAGGTATTTATAGTTTCTATTAAAAACGAAATCATCATTATAGCCCTTAAATGTGCATGCAGGTGGTTATTAGCATTTGTCCAATAGGGAAGCTGCACATAGGGATTCTGGAATATTCTTCCAAAAGATGATTGAATGGAATATCTTCAGCTCTTTCTAAGCTTCTTATAGCTTCCTCGAGCTCACCCATGGGTCGTCCTCACAACTTCAAACAGCAATTTTTATCTGACACTTTTAACCAATAAAACTTCAATGTTTATTTTATCAATTGTTTTTCAACAGAATTCACTTCATCATCATGACTTTTGGACATTGAATAATAGTTTACATTCACCAAGGCGAACAATTGAAGTAGATCAACTAACAAATTGGTTAATTGAGATGAAATCAATGATTTTAAAATAATCACCTATTTTCCCAAAGTCAGTATGTACATTATCATATTCTGTTGGGGACGATAGATCCCCAAACTCATATTTTAAATTTTATCGCATCGATCAATTTATTGATTAAATGTTTAAATATTTGTATTGGGGTCAATTTATGAACTGATCGATTAAATGTTTGATTAGCAGTGAATTGATGAACTATCGATTAAATTCGCAAATAGGTCAATTAAAGAACTCATTGATTAATGTTTGAAAATTTTCTATGACAATATCGATTGTAAATAATTGCATAAATACGCTTGACTTATATGCTTGATCTGATCTGCCTGCCTGACTTGGTATCTGCTGTTGCTTTTAGAATACACTTTCTACGCTTTACCAAGACTTCTTGATCGAGTTAGCTGAGTCGAAGACAACGGGCCAGAATACTCTATTGAGTCTCTGAATCTTGAGCCTTCGTTCCGTTCCGAATAAGTCGAATCAGTAGTATCCTCAAGGTTAACGAACCTAACATATTCCTTTTCCTCCAACTCTTCATCATCATCATGTTGTTCTTCTTGTTCTTCTTCATCATCTTCAGAATTTATTGGACCTAATGAAGAACAGTTGAATGGTAAAGGTAATAAGAGATCAAAATGTTGTTTACATGACCTTAGATATAAACATAAACTTCAAAATCAACAAAAACTGATCACTTTATCAAAGTTGAAAATGAATCCTCAACATTTCGTTATTATCGATTGTTGTTATGAAATATACATTATCTAGTTACCAAGTTACATGCAAGGTTTAGGTTGGTTAGTGGTAAATGATGATTACTTCTAATTCCTAGCAGAAAGTAATCTATACCATTACTGATTGATGAACTGAGCCCTACAAAAAGAATTTCAACTTATTGGGTAAGACTTTAGATATCTCATTATTCGAATATCACATAGTTCATAACTAAAAGTTATGACGGTAACTGTATTCAAGGCTTATCCAAATTTTTTCTTACTCTTTCTACTTTTTTATTCCTTATACACAGGTATTATTTTTTCTCATATCATTTTGCTCTGAGAGGTCTATGTCAAGAAACCGTTAAAGATCACGCAACGCTGAATACTTGTTCAAGTTTGAAACATTTTAACAGTGTACATGAATGACTTAATCAGATATCATATTCAAGAATTTCACATTAAGAATGGATCATAAAGTCGAATTTTAATATTCTATGTACCTAAATTCAATCATTCCGCACTGTCATTCATATTCTTATTTAGATAATAATTAATGACTGGTTTCAAGAGATATTTCCTGGAGTTCTGGTGAGAAGCAGTGAGCAGTGGAGTTCAACCGGGTCTGTTGTGAGATAGTAACTCACTGAAGACATTGGTGGATGTGTCACTGAATTTCGTGGATCGATTGAAGGTAGATATCGCGCGCGAGACTGTTAGGTCCTGAGTTCGAATTTCGCGAGGCGAGGTTGTGGATGGGCACTGCTGAGGGGTCCCACAATAGGACGAAACGGACGTCCAGTGTATCTAGATTTTCCATGGTGGTCTAGTTTCAATTGACTCATGATCTCAACTATTGAAATCTTTCTTCGAAAACTAAAAATTCATATTCATTCTTTATATATTCATAAGAAAATTTAATATTCGCACAAATTGAATATGAAACTTACTTCTTCTAAACAACCTTTGTTATTTGTTAGTGAGTTTGTAGAAAACATTTCCTCGTTAAATGAATCCATGTATTATGATGAGTAAGTTGAATCTATTCAACATTGAATCAATCGGATCGGATCAAAGATATCTATCTGTAGATAATGGATACTACTTTAATAGTAGTATAAAACGTCTGTCTTCTTTTATTCCCTTTTCAGTGATATAAGTAAATTTCATCACAATAATGAAGATAAATTGATTAGATCATGTGTGTCATTTTTAAAAAGAAAATTTAATCGATCTATTAGCATCAATTATGGTACAAAAATATCAGGTATTTATAGTTTCTATTAAAAACGAAATCATCATTATAGCCCTTAAATGTGCATGCAGGTGGTTATTAGCATTTGTCCAATAGGGAAGCTGCACATAGGGATTCTGGAATATTCTTCCAAAAGATGATTGAATGGAATATCTTCAGCTCTTTCTAAGCTTCTTATAGCTTCCTCGAGCTCACCCATGGGTCGTCCTCACAACTTCAAACAGCAATTTTTATCTGACACTTTTAACCAATAAAACTTCAATGTTTATTTTATCAATTGTTTTTCAACAGAATTCACTTCATCATCATGACTTTTGGACATTGAATAATAGTTTACATTCACCAAGGCGAACAATTGAAGTAGATCAACTAACAAATTGGTTAATTGAGATGAAATCAGTGATTTTAAAATAATCACCTACTTTCCCAAAGTCAGTATGTACATTATCATATTCCTCTTCGTCCAACTCTTCATCATCATCATGTTGTTCTTCTTGTTCTTCTTCATCATCTTCAGAATTTATTGGACCTAATGAAGAACAGTTGAATGGTAAAGGTAATAAGAGATCAAAATGTTGTTTACATGACCTTAGATATAAACATAAACTTCAAAATCAACAAAAACTGATCACTTTATCAAAGTTGAAAATGAATCCTAAGCATTTCGTTGTTATTGATTGTCGTTATGCACACGAATAGAATGCTGGACATATTTATATTGCTATTTAATTATCAGATTGGCCGAAACTTTATTAATATTTTTTTGGTATATTAGAACAATCTATTGAATCTACTGAAATGGATTTAAGTAACTCATCATATTCAACGGAACAACTGATTAAACCAAAACCATCTCATACTATATTTATATTATATTGTGAATTTTCTACAAAACGTGCATCACAATTATTTTATCGTTCACGTAATCATGACAGACTATTACATTTCAATTCATATCCTGCATTAAAATATCCATTTGTTTATATATTACATAGTGGTTATTCAACTTTTTATAAAAAGTACCCATATTTATGTGAACCAGATCTTTTAAGTATTTGGCATAAACATTGTAAACTGGTTAATAGACAATCGATGAATTCTCATTCACAAGTATATCCTGATAAAAATCATAATGAAATGTTAAACACACACACGCACATCAATCAATCAACGAATCGACACATTAAAGTACCATTCAAAAGTATTTCCAATCTCTTTCACAAGAAGAAAAAATAAAGAAAAAGATTTATTTCATTGAACCAAAACTTATTAACTTATTTATGTCCGTTACTCCTTATGGAAGAGTATAAGTCAACAACATTCTCAATCCAACATTGTCTTGATGAATCTTTTCCAGTTCTTTTCAATTGTTATTCTCTTTTTTTCATGTCTGTTTCCAAGTTCCGACATAGTGTATTCTTCGACCGTCTTCTTCTTCTTGTTGTATGTTTCCCTTCACGATTCCATGTTATCGCTTGTCTCATGATGTAGTTCGAATCCAGTTCAATACTATTTACTTGTTACTTATTTATTTCACAATTATTTTCATCTCATTTCTTCTATTCATAATGATTAATATAAGTAATATCGATTCAATTCATTTTGATTGAAAAGTTTTCTCTCAAACGGAATTCATTAACATTGCAACCTATTCAACATTGAATATGTTTCATTTAATTCAATCATTATTAATGTCTTTGTTTAAATATATTTTTCTTTTATTTTCATTGGTTGATTCACTAGAATTAAAAGAGAAAAGCTTGACAAATACAACTTAAAAATGAGTTTATATGGAGAGAGAGACCGAAGGCCTTGGGTTTGAATCCCGCGAGCGGTTTCGTGGATGTGTACTGTTAAGGAGTCCCATAATATAATGAAACGGACAGCCAGTGCTTCTAGGTTTTCAACAGCGGTCTAACATCATTCGGTTCATGATCTCAATCATTAAACGTGTAATAATGTATTCAACTATTTATTCATCTGACAGTAGACTGTAATAAAGGAATAATGAAATCATTAAAAATGATTGATATTCAGAAGAGTTACAATAAACTGAATAGCTCAAATATTGATTTATTTAGCCTAAATAAAGCAATTTGTTGGTAGCAGGGAAATCCAGGAAGTGCGTTTTTCCTGATCTAGCACTTATCATTTCGGTGTACTTTCATTCAAGTTGATCTTCTCTCCGAAGCTCAAACCCAGTACTGTTCTCTTCAAATGCCATTCCGTTATCCACTTAACTACTAAGTACAGATAGCTACTGCCTTTTGGAGTGGAGTTAATTTTAATTTATACATATTGCTTGTTTGGATCTTTTCATTAATAGTTTACTAATGCAATTTCGAGATGGTGGAAAAGATTTGTAGCTCAAGTGGACAATTTTGATGGAGTTTCGTCCTCTGGACTGGATGGTCTAGTCGTGGAGCATTCATCGTTCTTCTGAACGACATTGTCAGCACAAACTTCAGGTAGACTTCTTCAGGTGACTTCTACCTGAAGATTTGTGCTGATGATGTCGTTCAGAAGAACGATGAAAGATCCACGACCAAACCATCCAGTTCAGAGAACAAAACTTCATCAAAAACTAATGCAAATGTTAAGTCTCTTCTGATATACATACATCCTATATGGATTGCCTAGATATTGTTTAATTTTCAAGCATTTTAAGCAAAGATGAATAGTGGCTAGCAATGGAATCTAGGATGCATGTTTTACCCTGCTCGGATTTCATAAGGTGAACTTACCTGTTCAACTACAGTCATAAAACGTAAATAGGAAGATGCAAACAACTAATATTTATAATTATAATCAGAGAGAGGATTTCTGGAGATTTTACTACGACTGTATGTGGTACTAGGTTTCCACTGTACAAATCGCAACACTATCTCTTTTCATCATAGAGATAACCATAGACTTATGTGATCCGATGGAAATAGTGAAGAAAAAGACAACAGCAATAGAGATCTTAATTCCCAACAGTAATCCATCAAAACTGTCGTAATACGCAGAATTTTTTGGTTTAACTTGTGAATTAAGGCAATATCGAGGCATACGCACAGTATCCACATATGCCAATAAGAGACTGATCAATTGTGGACTTAAACCTCAATGGGAAGGTACAAGTCAAACTATACCAAGTGAAGTATATGACAATTGTTTTCATGTTTTGACCAGAAAAAATGTACTTTCATTCAAGCTAATATCAAAACATTTGTGGTTTAAAGTTATCGTTCACACCTAGACCCCTTATCAATGAGCAATTCTCTACACTCTTCCATTTTGAACGCAAACTATTCTCTTGATTATTATTATTATCGCTATTATTATCAGTTATTATCATACCCTTGAAATTTATCATTTGAGGTAGAGAATAATAATCATAATCGTTTTAACGACAGTTATTGTAATTCTTTTTAACAAAATAATTTTTGATTGAGATCGTGAACTGATTGATGTGAGACCATCACTGAAAATCCGAAAGCACTGGATGACCGTTTCGTTCTGTTGTGGGACTCCTCAGAACTGCGTATCCAAGATCCAGCTCACGGGATTCAAATCTAGGGTCTCGCGCACCAATGCTTAAACTTCAAACCAGTGAGCAGGCATCCAACGGTGTTAATGTCTAACTTCGATCAACCCATGAAATTTTGCGACCATCTTCCATTGTACTGAGGTAGATACCTGTCTGTACCCCACAAGGATTAGCTCCACTGATCACAGCTTCTCACTGGAGCTCCGGGAACTCCCTACCGAAGCTAGTCACTAGTTACTAGTCACAATGTGAGATGGTCGCGCAACTTCGCGGATTGGTTAAGGTTAGACATTAACACTGTTGGATGCCGACTCAATGGTCTAGTAGTTAAGTGCTTTAGTGCAAGGCTGAAGGCCTTGGGTTCGAATTCCACGAGGTGGGATCATGGATGCACATTGGTGAGGAGTCCCACAATAGGACGAAACTGCCGTCTTGTGCTTTCAGGTGTTCAATAGTGATCTAACATCATTCGGTTCATGATTTCAATTTTAAAAAAAAAACATAATTAATCTCCACAACCTCATAATGAAAAATTATTTTATTTTACTTTTTGTCATTGTTTTTTAAAATTATTATTATTTAGCTACACTCATTTAACATCAAAACCATTTTCATGTTCCATATGTCATCGAGGCTTTTGTCAATCACGTTCATTAGAAAATCATAAACGATCAAACCATCCAATTAAAAAAGATGAAACCGGTACAAAATTCAATGATAATCATTCGACTAGATTGATTTATACAACAGCTAATATTATTCCTATAAATGACATGAATACTACTACTACTACTCCTAATAACAATAATAATAATAATAATAATAACAATAGTAGAACTAGTACTAGTATGAATACCTGTACTACAAATTGTGACGTGATCAACATAATAAGAAATAATAAGACGGTATAAATACAATTTAAATAATGTATTCAACAATTGTTTTCATGGTTAATATTTTGGTTTGTTTTGTTTTAATGAATGAACAAAATGAAAAGAAAAATATTTTATTCACTTTCTAATGAATGATTCATGTGTTATTTAATTCGTTTTCATTTTGATTTATTTTTCATTTCGTTTAAAGAAATAAATATATTTTATAAAAAGAAAAAGAAAATTAATTTTGGTTACTAAGCAAAGATGGATAGTGACTAATAGTGGAATTCAGGACGTGTGTTTCGTCTTAATTTGATACTCATCACTTGGTGTGAATAACAAATCTGAGATGTGGGCACATCCAGCTGATGAGTTTCAAGTAGGATGAAATGCTTGTTCTGGATTCTATTGTTATCCACTCTCTGTCTTTGTTTATAATGCTTGTGACTTAAGACAATATTGGGGCGATACACACAGAATGCATATATGCCAATAAGAGATTGATCAATTACAGTCCTAAAAATCGATGGGAAGATTGAAGTAAACGTTGCCAAGTGAATTTAATATTAGTTAAATTTAATTTATCCTGGTACATCCAACTGATGAGTCTCAAATAGAAGGAAACGCGCGTCCCAGATTCCACTGATAACCATCATGCACCTTTGCTTATAATATTTGTTAATTAAGCCATTATCAAAGCAATCCGTACAGGATGTACCCATTCCAATAAGAGATTGATCAATTGCAGTCCTAAACATCAATAGGACGATTCAAGTAAACAATACCAAGTGAATTTAAATAATTTCTTTTCTTCTGCAATACTATTTCGATATTTTACATAGAATAACAACTACAAAGTAATCTATATGTATTGAACTTGTAGAGTTATCCAGGCAAGTAAACTGAATACAACAGTAAGCATTGACTACACCATATTTTAATATTATTAAGAAGAAATACAAATATTTTCAGATAAACTGTGTAAGAACAAAACACTTGAAGTGACTAGTCATTGAATGTGAATTATTTAAATGACCAGTAATTAATTCATTTGCACCACTAAGTCTTTATATCTGTAAAGTATAACTTCATTGATTGAAACGCAGTTTCATCATCAGTGCTTTAATGACTAAATCACTGTAATTAATACAATGTATTTCTTTACTAATGATATCTGACAATCGTAAAGTATCAGGGTGGAGTGTTGCATGGTATATTTACTGTTTATTTAGTCGATCAATGTGTCTTACTGGGTCTCAAGTTGGCAAAAAATAAGCAGGGTTTTGGCCTCATTACAGTAATGTTATTGCAACTTGCCAGTATAGGGTTGCTGAGTAACTTAAATTAACAAAGTAGTCTGTAGGCGCAATCTCCTCACTTCTTACAGTTAATGGAAGTGATGTTGTAGATCTCTTGAAGAATTATATATATTGCGTATATGAAACAGATACCAACCATTTTCGAATGTTAGGTGTTAAATTTACATTCTTATCTTTCATAGTAACGCACTGAGGCTAACAATAGAAGCAAATTTGAGCAGTATATTTATGAATTTTTGAGTCTACGCATAAATATAACCTAACCAGTTGATAAATTAGTTGACAAAACTAATCCTCACTGATTTAAAGGCCATAGGTTCTTACTCAAACTTCGAGTGAATGTATCCTCACCAAATCAATTGATTCATGAAACAAATTTACTAATTCTGTATTTTAATAGTTAAATTCATGAGTCCATTAAAGCTAGACCACCATGGAAAATCTGAAAGAATTGGATGGCCGTTGCATCTCAGCATGAAACTGTAGTGTTAGTCATTAGTTTTAGCCCATAATATATCTTATTCTAGATTTCGGACATTCCATTCTATTCATTCTACTTGAGTCATAGGTTGACTTTGTCAATTATTCGCTTGTCAGTCTTGATTGTTTTTATGTGAGCCTATATGAGTGTACACATCATATCACATGACTCATTGCATGTCTGTAGCTTAATTTTGTCTGACTATAAATATTGAGTAACGCTAGACTAAAAATGAGTTGGATTACCGGCCATCTCCACTCTGCGTCGCTTCTCTTCCTCCTATTCCATTCACCTCATATACAAAATATATGTATTCAAAATCCCTTTCACGTTATTTGACTTATTTAATTCCGTTATTGGCTAACGTGATTTAAGTCGAGGATTATATACGAGAATTGGCGATAACAAACATTCGTACGATCTAAGTAGTAGTCAGATTCACGGGCCTCCCAAAAAAACTCCTCAGCAGTGCACATCCACGATCTCGCCTGCAGGACTCGAACCCAGGACCTTTGATCTACGCGCGCGAATGCTAAACCTGTAGATCACTGGGCCAGTACCCAACGGCGAACCGTCGTGCTATTTCTTGGATTGGTTGAAGTAAGACATTAACACCGTTGGATGTCGGTTTAGTGGTCTAGAGGTTAAGCGTTTGCACGCGAGACCGAAAGTCCCGAGTTCGAGTCCAGCGAGAGAGATCATGGATGTTCACTGTTGGGAAGTTCAATAATGAGACGAAACGGCCGTCCAGTAGTTCCAGGTTTTTCATGGTAGTCTAGCTTCAACTGACTCATGATTTCAACCAGTGACATTCTGTATTTGTTATAATCACTTACTTAAAAAAACACTTATTTTTATATATACTGATGATGACTACTGCGTGCAAACAATCTAGGCCATCTCAATCAACAGTCTTCAAGCAATCTATTTGATTAGATTATTAGGTCTAGCAATTAAACAGATTTCATATTTACGATAGTTAACAAGTATTGTATCCAACCATCAATACCTTCTAATTTATGATATTAAAATAAATCATTTGAAATGAACCAGATTATTCTAAATGAAACATATGAGATTATTAACCTAGTGGTGATTTTAACAGCGGAGATCATGGGTCGATTGAAGCTAGACCACCATGGAAAACCTATAGGCACTAAACGGCTGTTTCATCCTATTGTGGGACTCCTCAGCAGTGAGCGTCCACGACCCAGCCTCGCGGGATTCAAACCCAGTACCTATCAGTATCGCACCAGGAGCTTAACTGACTAGACCACTGATTCGACATCCGACAGTGTTAATGTCTAACTCCAACTAATCCACGAAATTGAGCAACACATCCACCATTGTCATCAGTGAGTTACTATTCCACAACAGACCCGGTTGAGCTCTCTGGTCACAATACATAGTGTTTAACAATCAAATCAAATATATACTCAGTGCTTATTCAATCAGATTCAAGTGTTGACCCTAGTAAATAGGATAACATGAATCAGTTAGATATGAATTATATGATAAGTTCACAATGTGAGGATAAATGAACGAATGAATGATTGTGTGTGTGTGTGTGTGTTTAAGTTTAAGTTATTAATAGATGATATTATGTGTTAATTTGTTTTTATTAAAAATAAAAATCAAAGTGTGAATTGAAAATGAGAACAATTAAAATTCATAATTCATAGAATGGGGTTTTAAGGGGATTGTAGTAATGTACTAGTTGAATTCATAAATCGATTTAAGCTGGACCAGCAGTGAAAACCTGGAAGCATTGGATAGTTGGTTTATTCTAGTATGGGACTCCTTAACAGTGCTCATTCACGACCCCTCACATGTTCAATGCTTCTATGGTGGTCTAGCTTAAATCGACTACTCATCAATTCAATTATTAAAATACATAACTTCAATAATAAACTATTCAAATGAATTTCTGTCAGAATAACATTACATATGAAGTAAACAGGGTTGGATAGAGATAGGGTCCAATTACTTGTTAATGAACATTTTCCACGTGGTAGCTAGTTGAATGCCACGATTTTAATTCAGACTGTTCTTATCAGCCCATATATATATATATATATATATATATATATATATATATATATATATATATATATATATAAAGCGTTTCTGTGGTTAATCTTTCTTCATGTGTGCTAGAACCTTTCTCAAGCATTTTGTTCCCTTCGAAATTAATCTTGTGCCCTGTTTCACCAGTGAGTTATGAATAAACTAGTTACTCACTAGTGGGATTAAATGATGGACACACCATATTACGAAATAAGAATTTACTTCATATATATATATATATATATAAATAATCTTAGAAAACACCAGTTAATAGTTGCAGCATCAAATGGATTATTACATAAAGCATAAGATTTATTTCAAATCGAAACCACTTTATTGTCTACCTCAAATATGGTTCGTTAAACACAATGAAACGAGCGCATAGGGTTGTTTCTAGATTTTATATTTTAGAACATCACATTCTACAATTAATAATGTAACACAGTTTACTTCTAATTTACATACTATGGATGGGCTTATACAAATCTCTAATGGTTTTTGCATCAAACATGAAGTTTACTTATTATCTAGTTTATACTATCCCAAAATATTGATGAATTTAAATAGATTCATTTGTTATTAGGTGGAGATTGATCATCAAATGAGAGTCCAAAAAAATATTGAATGAACATTACAAATCATCCACGAAAACTAACGGGCATTAATAGGTAAGCAGGTAAGCAAGTAAGTAAGTAAGTAAGTAAGTAAGTAAGTAAGTAAGTAAGTAAGTAAGTAAGTAAGTAAGTGAGTAAGTAAGTAAGTAAGTAAGTAAGTAAGTAAGTAAGTAAGTAAGTAAGTAAGTAAGTAAGTAAGTAAGTAAGTAAGTAAGTAAGTAAGTAAGTAAGTAAGTAAGTAAGTAAGTAAGTAAGTAAGTAAGTAAGTAAGTAAGTAAGTAAGTAAGTAAGTGAGTAAGTAAGTAAGTAAGTAAGTAAGTAAGTAAGTAAGTAAGTAAGTAAGTAAGTAAGTAAGTAAGTAAGTAAGTAAGTAAGTAAGTAAGTAAGTAAGTAAGTAAGTAAGTAAGTAAGTAAGTAAGTAAGTAAGTAAGTAAGTAAGTAAGTAAGTAAGTAAGTAAGTAAGTAAGTAAGTAAGTAAGTAAGTAAGTAAGTAAGTAAGTAAGTAAGTAAGTAAGTAAG